CTCCTTATGTCTCCATGTATTTATCTATCTCCACACTAATCCTAACAATCTCCCACTTGGAGATAGGATCAAACATGCACCATAGACTACCACATACACACTCCTTCCTCAAGAACACTTAATACATTCATCAAAACAATTTCACCATAGCACAACACTCCTTCAATTTAATGATGGAGTCCAATTGAGGTCCTACACAACCTCAATTTGTCACTAGAAACAACTTTAGTGAGCATATCCGCCGGATTCTTTGAACCGGCAATCTTCCTCAAACACATCGTGCCATCCTTCACCAAACTCCTAGTATAGTGATAACGCCTCTTGATGTGTTTAGTGCGATAATGAAACATAGGTTTCTTAGCCAATTGAACCGCACTTTGGCTATCACTATACAACGCACAAACATCTTGTTTCATGCCCATTTCTTCAAGGAAACCCTTCAACCATTCCATCTCCTTTCCCGCTTCCGACATAGCCACATACTCGGCTTCCGTCGTAGACATAGAGACACACTTTTGGAGCTTGCTCATCCAACTAATGGCCGTACCACCAATAGTATACACATACCCCGAAGTGCTTTTGCTTGAATCATAACATCCTCCAAAATCGGCATCAACAAAACCTTCCAAAACAACTCCATTTCTCCTAAAGCAAAGAGCCATACTTGAAGTACCCAACAAATACCTCAATAGCCACTTCACGGCTTCCCAATGTCTCTCACCCGGATTTGACATGAACCTACTCACAACTCCCACTGCGTGAGCAATGTCGGGCCTCGTGCAAATCATAGCATACATCATGCTACCAATGGCCGAAGCATAAGGAACAATGGCCATTTTGTCCTTCTCTTCCCTTGTCTTTGGGCAATCCTCCTTAGTCAACTTGAGCTCACTTGAAAGAGGTGAGCTTCGAGGCTTTGCATCAATCATGTTAAATCTTTTAAGCACCTTCTTGACATACTCCTCTTGAGATAACTTCAACACACCCGTTGAACTATCCCTAGAAATTCTCATGCCAAGTATTTGCTTGGCCTCACCCAAGTCTTTCATCTCAAATCTTCTTGACAACTTCTTTTTCAAGTCATTGACGATTTCCATACTAGTTCCCGCAATCAACATATCATCAACATAAAAAAACAAGTAGATATAGCCATTGTCATACCTTTGAAAGTAGCAACAATGGTCACCTTCCGCTCTCACGAAACCATTGCCTAGCATGAAATTGTCAAACTTCTTGTACCATTGTCTAGGAGCTTGTTTCAACCCATATAGACTCCGTTTAATCTTGCACACCAAGTTCTCTTGACCCGGAACTTGAAACCCTTCCGGTTGCTTCATGTAGATTTCGTCCTCCAAATCACCGTGTAAAAACGCGGTTTTTACATCCATTTGCTCAAGAAATAAGTCCTCCGAAACCACTATAGCCAACAAGATCCTTATAGTGGTTAGATTCACAACCGGAGCAAAGATCTCATGATAATCAATGCCCTCCTTTTGTGAAAAACCTTTCACCACAAGTCTTGCCTTGTACCGAATTGTACCATCCGGTTCTTCTTTCTTTCGAAAGATCCACTTGCACAAAAGTGCTCTCTTGCCCTTAGGCAACTCAACCAGCACCCAAGTGTTATTTTTCTCCAATGAAGACATCTCATCTTCCATTGCTTGCTCCCACTTCAACGAGTCACCCATGCACATTGCCTCTTTATAACATTCCGGCTCACCGGAATCCGTCAACAACAAATAATGCAAGGATGGAGAATATCGGTATGGTGGCTTGATTGTTCTTGATGATCTCCTCACCGTTGGTGGTGTAGATGGCTCTCCATGAACCACAACGGGCTCACCCATAACTACTCGCTCATCCGTTTCCAAGTGATCATCATCATCCGAATCACTTGAATCCGAATCCACCGGAACATGAGCACCATGTTGAGGAGATGCTTGTTGAATTTGCACCTCAACTTCTACCTGTTCAACTTCCTTATCACTTCTAACCTTACCATCTAGCTCAACAAATTCCCGCTCATCTTCAATTGATTATTTCTCAACGGATTTCCCACCAAAGTTGTCTTTGTACAAAGAGCTCTCAACAAAAGTGATGTCACAATGCCTAACAATCTTTCGATTCTTAGGATCCCACAATCTATAACCATATTTCTCACATCCATACCCGATGAAGTAACATTTGATGGCTTTTGGGTCTAGCTTGTCTCTCTTTTCGGATTGCAAATAGGCCACACAACCAAAGGTCTTCAAGTGAGTGTAGGACACCTCCTTACCACTCCACTCCTCCTCCGGTATCTTGAATTCCAAAGGTACCGAAGGTCCACGGTTTATCAAGTAAGCCGCGGTACTAACGGCATCCGCCCAAAAACACTTTGGGAGGCCCGCAAACAACCTCATACACCTTGCCCTCTCCAGTAAAGTCCTATTCATCCGCTCCGCTACCCCGTTTTGGCGAGGTTTACCGGGAATGGTCCTCTCCAAAACAATGCCATGCTCCTTACAAATGTTTTTGTAAGCTTCCAACTAATACTCTCCTCCATTGTCGGACTTGATTGCCTTAATCTTCTTGCCCGAAACATTTTCAACCTCCGCCTTCCAAGTCTTGAACTTCTCATTCACTTCCGACTTGTGCTTCATGAAATATACCCATACTTTCCGGGTTGAATCATCAATGAAAGTGACAAAATAGTGAGAACCACCAAGGGCTTGATGGGGTATGGGCCCCAAACATCCGTGTGCACAAGTTCTAGCTTCTCCTTCTTCAAGGACCGTTTGGTTTTTGTGAAAGACACCTTCTTTTGTTTCCCAAAAACACATGTCTCACAAAATTTCATGTCGATTGATTTCAACCCCGACAACTTACCCTTTGAAGCTAGCAATTTCATCCCTTTCTCACTCATGTGACCAAGCCGAGTATGCCAAAGCTTAGTCTCATCATTTGCGGTTGTAGCAATCATGCTTTTACACCCTAAGGTAGTGTACAATGTGCCGGTCTTCGTGCCCCGAGCCACCACCATAGCTCCCTTTGACACCTTCCAAGTACCTTCACCAAACATGGTTCTAAAACCGCTTGAGTCTAGTTGACCCACCGAAATCAAATTTTTCCTTAGCTTAGGTATGTACCTAACATCTTCAAGCTTCCATGAGCTCCCACTTGAAGTCTTGATCATAAAATCTCCCTTCCCCACAATATCCAAAGGTTCATCATCCGCAAGGTACACCTTTCCAAACTTGCCACTCTTGAAGTTTTGGAAAATCTCCTTACATGGAGAAGAATGAAATGAAGCTCCCGAATCAAGGATCCAAGACTCAATGGGACTATCAACACTCAAGATCAATGCATCACCGATTTCATCGCTTGATGCCAAGCTAACCGATGAACTAGCATCATCGTGGTTCTTGTGGTTTGAACCACCCTTCTTCTTGGGATTAGGACATTCCCTCTTAGTATTCCCTTTCACACCACAACCCCAACACACAATGTTTACCTTCCCTTTCGACTTACTCCTCCCTCTAGACTTCGATCTTCCTCTTTGAGCACCTCTTTGTTGTCTTCCACGTCCCCTACCTTCACTAGAATAAGCACCACCCGCTGACTCACCCGAGTTCTTCCTTCTCAAGCTCTCACTCAAGATTAAGTCCCTCACATCATCACACTTCAACTTCGACTTTCCGGAAGAGTTGCTAATGGCGGCTACAACGGTATCCCAACTTCTAGGCAACGATGACAACAAGATCAAGGCCCTCACTTCATCATCAAACTTAATCTCAACCGAAGCTAGTTGAGAGATTATTGAATTGAATTCATTTATATGTTCGGGGGCGGAACCACTATCATTCATCTCTATTTCAAACAAACACGCATCAAGAACACCTTGTTCATAGCCGATGGCTTCTCATACATATTGGACAATGCTTTGATCACACCAACCGTCGTTGTCACATCTTTGACATTGTAAGCAACACTCTTAGCCAATGTCAATCTAATCACTCCAAGGGCTTGTCTATCCAATACTTTCCACTCCTCTTCCTTCATACCCGATGGTTTACTAGTAAGGGGCAAATATAGGTTCTTTTGATACAAATAGTCCTCTATTTGCATCTTCCAAAACCCAAAATCCTTCCCATCAAAATTCTCAATTCTCAACTTGCCTTCTTCCATTGCAAATCAAACACACAAAGTTCACAATAGGTTTTCAACAACAAAGAATGCAACTTGACACCCAAGACTCAAACTTTGAACACCTAAAGTTCCAAACTTTGAAACTCAATCACAATTTCAAGTTTAACACAAACCCTAAATCATCAAAACACCAAAGATTCAACCTTAGCTCTGGTACCAATTGTAAGGATTAAAGTGTTCAACTAACTTGCAATCAACCCACAATAGCAATGAACAAACAAGCATAACAATCAAGAACAACTTTGAAGGAATTAAAGCAAGTAAAAGGAAGACAATGTTACCGTGGGAAAACCAGAGAACCGGGAGAAAAAACCCACCCTTGCACTATGGAGTAATATTGATGATGAATGAACTCAAGAATTACAAGCATGAATTGTATAGAATTCAAATGCTCCTCACAAACCCTCTCAAAACCTCTCTATGTGTTTAAATATTTGTGAATAATCAACAAAGAGGCTTAGAAAAGGTATATATAGTCTAGGTAGAAAATACAATCCAACGGCTAAGATTAAAGCAAATCGCACAAGCCGAAAACGAAGCGACGAAATAGGGAGCAGGGAGGTTCGGCCGAACCTACCCAGAGTTCGGTCGAACCTGGGGTGGTTCGGTCGAACCTCCTTGGGTTTGGTCACTCCTCCTCTAGAAATGAAAACTGGTGCACCTACTGACTTAAAACCGGGTTCGACCGAACTTTTCACAAGTTTGGTCGAACCTTAACAATAAGGCAGCTTCTATGCAATCTCCTTATGTCTCCATGTATTTATCTATCTCCACACTAATCCTAACATGATGATTCCACTAAAATCTTTCACATGATTACCGAGCTTTTTACTTCCGGAGATTTGAGAAAGTTCACCGACAAACACAATCTTGTAGGTAACACCGCGATCAAGAATTGGTCTAGACAGATTCTAAGTGCGTTGAACTATCTTCATGATCGTAGTATACTGATGATCGTTCATCGAGATGTTAAGATTGAAAACATTTTCTTTGATGGAAACTTGGGCACGGTTAAGCTAGGAGATTTTGGTTTCGCGTGTAAAATTAAACCGGGAAGAAGTCTAACTAGGTGTGTTGGTACACCAGAAACTATGGCACCGGAAATTTTTGAAGCAGAATATAATGAAAAGGTTGATATATTTTCGTTTGGGATGACTTTAGTACAGATAGTGACTAAGGAAAAGATGTACAGCGAATGCAACAACGACAAGGAGCTGGTTTCCGGAATGATTAAGAGGGGTGAAATGCCTGCCGCGCTAAACAATGTGGAAGACTCCGAGGTTAGGCAATTCATTGATAAGTGTCTGCGCCCTAAATCAGAGAGACCTGCGGCAATTGACCTCCTGAATGACCCGTTTCTTGCAGACGATGTTCCTGAAACATCAAAAGCAAGTAGTAGTGCTAGTATTCAGACTCTGAGAGAGTCTGTGCGTGATCAGGTGGCTAGATTACTGCGTACAGACCACCCTGACAGTACGACACATAACGTTCCGCCTTCCAGACCACCTCTGGAACGAGAAAGAGAAATTGAGCGTGGGTGTGAGACCTTTGGGTCACAAAAGGGAACGTCTGAGACTGTTTCGCCATCTAGGACACACGAGAAATCGAGTGATACCTAGTTGATTCCAAAATGGTTTGGGAATACTGGGATGCTGTCATCAACATTTTGCTGCAAAAGATGGAAGTTTAAGGTCAATGCAATAATTTGGTATTAAAAGACTTTTCGACAATATGCATGTATGTTAGAGTGATTATTTTGAATATGATTCTAGGAATTTTATATACTTTCAGTCTTAATTAGTATGATTGCTCGAAATTAGGCATTTTACTTGTTATTTGTGATTGCTTCAAGTATATGAATTCGTATTATTTCTGAGCTTATTTTGTCTTCGCTTATGTAACGATAAATTGGCTTCTCAATTCATACTAAATAATTTTAGATTTTCTCATCTTCTTGATTGGGTTTCACTACAGAATTTGCATTTAGCCGAAACTTACTTTGATGGAAAATGAAAAGCTCTGTATTTAGTCCTCTGTAGTATGTACAAAAAAAATAATGAAGGCTTATGCAATAATTTGCGTTTAGCCGTATCACAAGTACGTGAAGCCATGTTTTAGGTATATAATTTTAGGAAATTTAGAAGTAGTGTTGCAGAGTCAAGTATAAGGATTATATTGGTTCTTGGTGGAAAAAATTTATTTGCATAATATTTAACTTCATGAGTAGCCAGTTCGATTTTTCACAAGATGTTCATCAATCGTGCACAATTATATTTAACTAGAGGTGATCATAAATATGTTAGTAATTATTTTTAAACAGCACATCATGAAATTTAACTACTCGTGGTATGTACGTGATATAACCCGAACCACGTATTACTTTCTACTATACCAATGAACATCACCCGTACCATACCATGACTAGGGGACTAGGGGTACTAAGTTATACAATAACCATATTTATACGCCAAGCAACGTGGCACGCAGATGTTGTATACTTCTTATGGGCTAGATGGTTCTAATTGGGTTGTATTTGGTTAAAGAGACATTTAAATACAGTCTATTAAGGGTCTAATATGGAGTAACATAGAAAACTATCAAATTTAGTTATATTAATGTCCAAGAGTAATGGAGAAATTTTCTGATTCAAATTGATTTAGCCTATCTAATGTTCTCTTAGACTGGTACATTCTTTCTTTATTTCTTTGCCCTATTTGACTTTTTACGGTCTTCAAGACACATCTTAGAACGCACATAATTAACTTTATTTCCATACATGTAAAACTGATAAAACGTGATATATTCATGACTATGTTATCTCTTATAGATTAACGGTAATTTATGGTCAACGTTTACAAAGTTTGACCCAAAAAATTACTAAATAAAGGGACAGGGATCGGAGTATAACCATATAAAGTTGTTCTAACAAAACTTTCTAATCAATTTGGCTAATTTTTAATCTGATATGCTAATATACACGTGTATTAATAACATAGTCAATTATGGTCTTGTTACATTTGTCTCTGTGTGCAAAATTTCCAAAATAAAATGAAAAATCTAAAGTTATTAGTTTATCCGAAAAAACTAAGATATGTGACAATAATAAGGTGAATAACCTATACAAGCTTTAGCTTTTAGCGTAGATAAGCATACTCAACATTGCATAGCATGACAAAAAAAATTAATGAAGCATAACGATTTTTCATAACAGGTATATTTATTGTTACATTTTGTTTCATCACTTTTTAAATTTTTAAATTAAAGAATCAAGAAATGGCAATTCCTGTTTTTTGATCTTGATAACCAACTTAACTAATTAATTCAAGTAACAAACGAACTGCCGCAAGCAGATATAAATAGCCACTCTATTAATCTTATATAAATAACAACAATACATTCTCCTTTAATTCCAAGAATTCTCTGTTTTTCCTACAAAATCATCCCTTAATTACAATTAAACATCAGAAAACAACCCTAGTCATTTCTAATCAGTGCCAAATCTTCTGTTAGCTTCAGCAATGGCTGCTTCATCAGAATTGGATGAGAATTTTGGTTTACGAAAGCTGTTTATGACAGATAATGTTTCGTCACCACCTACGAAACCGGAGGAGGAAGAAACTGAAAGCGGAGATCAGACTTCAGACAATGCTTCATCAGAAGTGGATAAGAGTTTTGGTTTACGAAAGCTGTTCATGACAGCGGAAGAAACTGACAGCGGCGATCAGACATCAGACAATGGTTCACAATCAAGACCACCACCTCCAGAACAAGAAACAAAAACTGATGAGCGTCAAGAACGGACTGTTTCGCCATCCGGAACACAGACGGAGTCAGATACAGATTTTGACAGTGGGGGTAACTCATTTGGGTCACAATGGGGAACGAATGACTCTGTTTCGCGATCTATGGTATACGAGTTATCGAGTGATGAAGAGCAAGATGATGAGACACGACCTCGTCGACTTTTATCTGTTTGGTTTCCTATGCTATCATCTTGCTTTTGCTGCAACGTATGAATTCTGAGATCAATCAAATTTCATTCAAGTTAGTAACTGCAGTACTACGTATTTTATTTTTATTTTTTAAAGCATCTTTTGGTAGCAAAAACTTTGGTTATAATTAGTGTTAATTTGAAATTTTTAATAAAAGAACATTGCTGATTGTGAGTAATTATAGTACTGTGCAATATGTATTGAGAGTATTAAAGCTACGATGATGTCAAATCAGCTAAGATGACTATCTTGAATCAAATCATATTACTTTTTTTTTTGAGGCAAATCAAATCATGTTATTAACAAAATTAAGTGCTATTTTATTCGTATTGTGTCATCTGTAAACTCGCTTATTGCCTTATCGAATAATTATCATGTCATTGTAAACTTGGTTAGAATTTTTTATAGACACACGGGTGTATTGTACACCCAACTAACTTAAGGTTAGTTTTTGTTCTTCATTTGATGATAAAATGAAAAACAATCATCACAATGAGAACATATATTCATGGGTGTAAGGTACACCCAGGTGTTAATAACAACCTCTCAAACATGCTATGAAGCAATTTTATATATTAAAACTTATTTTAAATACACTAAATATGTGCGTGGGACATGATTTTGAATTCAAGTTAAAATAAAATAAGGGCTTATTCAACTCACCTTACAAAAATAATTTTAGTTCACTAAAATTAATTTAAATTTAGTAAAGATAAAACAATGAAGGCATTTTGGCGTACTACAAAAATGTGAAGCCATTTTTTAAGTATATAGCGTTAACTTTTTTAATAAATATAGTAGTGTGTGTTGCAGAGTCAAGTATAGGGATTATCACTACTAGAAATAGGTTGATTTCCAACGGACAGTTGCCGACGGACTCTTATTTCCGTCTGAAAAATCAGAATTTCCGACGGATTTTTTATTCGGTAGGAATTTTCCGACGGATTTAACTTCTGTCGGAAAATATAAGATTCCATCGGAACATTAAATTTCCAACGGAAAAAAAAAATCCGTCGGAAAGCTTATATTTTCCGACGGAAGTTAAATCCATCGGAATAAATTAATAAAAAAAAAAACAAACCCTAAAAATGGGCGGAATCCCCCCCTCATTTCATTTTCTCTTTCTCTTTCTCTAGCCGCCCCAAATTCTCTCTCCTCCTCCCTTCTTTCTTTTCTTTCCTCTTCTCTTTGTTCTTCTTCTCCTTCTCTTGCCCTCTTCGTTCTCCTTCTCTTTCCTCTACGTCTTCTCGCTCTCCTCTTCTTCTTCTCACCTGTTCCTGTTTCTTCTTCGTCCTCTTGTATCTCCTTCTTCTCGTTATCCTCTCTGCAACAACACCACCGATCTCCTCTCCGCAACAACACCAACGCATATAAATCAAGGTTTTCAGTTCAAATTCGACCATGAAAACTCTAGATCTAGAGTTTTCATGGTCGAATTTGACCTTGTTAACCCAATTTCGATGTTTTGTTTGGTCAATTCAAGGTATGTTTTTTCGGTTTTTTTTATTTTAATTAAACTTCTGTTTTTCTGTTTTATTAATTTTAATTAAAGTGTTGTTTTTCGGTTTTTTTTTAATTTAAATATATTATTGTTTTCGATTTTATTATTTTGAAAATTTATGGTGGTATTGATGGATGTTGGAGTTCGAATTGTGGTGGTTGTGGTCGAATTTTTTTGATGTTATTTTGGGTTTCGGTGTCGTGGTGGTAGAGTGGGTGGGTGGGTTTTTTGGTGGTGGTTTAGGTGGTTTCGGTGAAGCACGTGGGTGTGGTGGTGGGTAGGGGTGGTTTGGGTGGGTGTGGTGGTGGGTAGGGGTGGTCAGGGTGGGTGTGCTACTGGGTTTGGTTAGTGGGTCAAGTACGTTGGTGGGGGTGGTCTGGGTGGGTGTGGGTGGGGGCTGTTTTTTTTTTTTTACTGACTTTTCCGACGGATATTTCCGTCGGAATATACCTCTTCCGACGGAAAATTCCAACGGAAACCTATCCAACTCTTATCCAATTTCGACGGAAATTAAAGTAAAAAACAGCGTCGACAGAATTAAATCCGCCGAAAATTCTGTCGGAAGGCATTCCGACGAAATTTCCGTTGGAAAAGGTCGAATTTCCTACAAAGGCCATTACGACAGACTTATTCCGACGGAATTCCTTCAGAAGGCTTGTTTCGGACGGATTTTCCTATGTTTCCTACGGAAATTTTCAGTCGGAATCCAACTGTTTTCTTGTAGTATATTCATTCTTGGTGGCAAAATATTATTTGCATAATACTTAACAACTTAATGAGTTTAGCCAGTTCAAGTTCAAAAGATGTTCATCAATCGTGCACAATTAAATTTAACTAGACGTGATAGTAAATATGTTATAGTTACTCTTAAACAACACATCAAGAAATTTAACTATTCATAGTATGTACGAGGTTAACTACGTACCTTCAACTATACCAAATGTTCCGGATGAAAACAATAGGACCTTCAGCGAGCCCTTTTCGAGGAGGAAGACTGGTCTCAATCCAAATGATGACTGGGCCGAGAATTTCTTACACAGCAAACACATGTAAAACTGGCCTCAAGGGTTGTACCGAGGAAGGCCCCTCCGATGCCGAAATTAGTACAGTGTTGAAAGAGAGAGAG